TATCATGAAGCTCAAATGATTTTTAAAGTGAATTGAATTGTCAAACAATTTCTATATAAGTTTTGCTACTATTTGAAATATGCGATGCTCCTGCTATGTGACATTTACCGAGTTGATGCTTCTCGAAATCACATGTTTTTAAGTTCTAAAAAAAGTTTAAAGACAAGTTTATCGACGTTCTCAATTCATGAAGAAGAATTATCCATATTTCTTGTATAGTTGTATAAGTAGTTTTCTGATATAGCATTTATACATTTTATTTAAGTGTTCAAAATATACTTCAAATTAAAACTTTTCTTTAACAGTTTAGCGTAACAGCATTAAGTATTTACTGCAACTAGGCATATGATTTATAACCCATAAACCATTTGAAATAGAAAAATAATTTTAAAATAATAATTTTATGCTTTAAGAATAAGTTTATTAGATGTTAGTTACTTTATTATGATTTAATGCTTAGAAATTATTGTTATAAAATAATAGTCTTGCAAAATATCAGTTATTATTTATTGTCTTTTTTTGTTAATATTAAATAATTTATAGTGTTAAAAAAAAATTTAAAAAGAGATAATTTCATAATATCAACAATATATTTTTGTTATTTACTTATGATCGCATTTTGATGGACTCTTTATCGGTTATCATTACGTTCTATAAAACATTCAAGTTTTTAGGAAAATTAAATAAACTTCTGACGAGCTAACAAGTTAAATAACAAGCTAAAAACTATTTTAAGGATAAGTCCTAGTAAATATATATAAATGGTATGTTTATTTGTAGGTATTTAAATATAAATAAATAACAGCATGAAATTTGAAGATCAATATTCATCAAGCACATACAATTTTCGTTTTCCTATTATTGTATCATTCGCATTCCACAGAAAGAACAAATACACGATTGATACTTGAATACATAATATGTTTTGCAAATATATGATTACAATAATATGCAAACTATATTCAAAGATATTCTATACGACTATACCCTAAAACGATATGCCACATAACATTATTTTGTAAGTAGGTATATGCCAATTTTTTTTTATGCCAGAATTTCCATTAAACAACGATATAAAGTTTCAAATACTATGTAAACAACAGTGTTGAATATTTCATGATTTAAAATACATTATTATTTTTAATTAGTTTCATTTAATAAAATGTTAAAAAAATATGGACTTTTATAAAAAACATCGGGGGTTCTAAGTATAATGTTATTCATGATATGTTTTTAGCTATAGCACTAAACGTTCAAGTATTTAAAAATATTAAACGAATAAACTTTTTATTCCATATCAAATAGAAACATCGAAAACTGAATAATTCCGTAGATTTTATCAACAGTGTAAATACATTAAAGTAAAAACAAAAAAAATACTAAAAATAGCAAGCTCTTGAAATTTGAATTTAGTAATATAATATACTAAATTTAACAAATGATTTACCTACTTTTATTATAAATATTAATTTAAACAATTATGTCGTATAACCACTAGATTTTATTTAATTAAAATTAACAAACGATTTGTTGATATTTCTGATGAAGGGTTAAAACGGTCACCTATTGATTAATTTATTTGCTTCTGCCCAAAAATAGTCATTCCCACTGGAATAGTGGGAAAATTCTGAATGACTGCACTGGTTTATTTTTTGCTCTTTCTTATACATTCTTATGTCCTTTGTAAGGCAGTATAAATATATAGAATTTCAAGAATTATTATTTTTAAAACCCTTTTATCAGTTTTATCAACTTTACTTGGGCTCAATGTAATTTTCTATAGGCTCTTTTATTTAGTTACGTTGTTCTAAGAAACCTGAGACTTAGTACATTTACTCATCATCGATGAAAATGCACAAACTATTAAAGAAGGGTGCTTAAATCTACTTCTCCAAGAGAGTTGAAAATTGAAACACTAGGTAACTTATAAGTCGTAATAATAAAATACAATATTAAAATACACTTTAACAAAAAATCACTTAATGAATCAGCATTTGAATATCTACTCGATATAATCCATAGTTATTTATTTTTCAAGTTGTAAATTGTAATCATAACGGTTTCATTATTTTATAATATTTTATTGTATACATTAATTGTAAAAATTATGCATTTATTTATAATTAATGATTATTAAAATATTACTATATTTCTAAAAAGTATAAATAACATTGCTCATTGTTAATTTTTTAACGATTATGATATTTTATATGGTACAAGTAAATTCATTCAAATAATTATATGAGAATTAATTACTAACTTTTTATTTTTAAATAATTGAAAAATAATTTTTAACCAACTACATACATAAAAGATTCTTTTATATTGAATGAATAATTTAAATTCAGTTATAATTTTAACTTCACATATTATGTCTATTTAACTTAATTTCAACCCATTCATTTCGGAATCAATAAACATTATATGTAGTCATAGCTTAGTAATTAAATTAATATTATATAGGTTTTCTTTATTATGGTTTATTTTTACAAGTAATAAACAATCGGTATCAAATTACCCTAGACACAATAAGAATATGTGGTAAAAGTTAACAGGTCATGAGGTTTCGTTGAAAAAAACCAGCCATTGATAACACTTTCAATGAGCTTGATACTTAATTTAATTTAAGAGATCGCGTCATTATGGTTTTAATAGGTTTTTTTAAAATGCACTCAGGTTTGAGTTACCAAATCATTGGATTACATTAAAGATTCGTACTTTCATACATTTTAAATAGTTTTAATAACTAAAAAATATTTATACTGCATGAATATTATACTCGTTAAATGACTGTACAGTTAAATATGCAGTATTAAACTTAATTAAGACATCAAGTTATTTCTAAGGTAGCTTATAACTACTTTCATATACTTTGACAGATTGAATAATATTGCTTATGAGTTATTGATAATGTATATAAGTTGAATTTTATATATAGGAATACATTTTAAGTGTGAACTGTGAACTAATAAATAATTTTAAAAAGTCACTTCATCATGAAGCATATGTCATTCAAAGAATCTAGGATCAATATACTTGTATATAAATATATTTTGTATTATAGATGAAGTATTAACACTAAACAATGTTACACTTTATATGGATCAATATTAACTTATTCTACATATTATTATTATTGCTACCTACTCAGAATAAATTGACTTTATGGAACTTTTTTTGTGTCATCTTTGTGGTTTTACTGGTTTTAGCCTTTGAATAATAAAAATAATAATCAATCACTATTACTTATCGGACAAAATAGGTACGTGATAAACGAAAATAATGTAGCAGCTACGTGTGTTAAGTAAACCTTTTATAATTTTGATCGTCAGCAATCAGTATAGTTATAACCTTTTTTCCATTTGCATGTCAGTAATTTCATGTGTTTAGCGTCGCGTCGCTAAATCGAAAATATCACCCAATTTGTAGTAAACCGCCAGGCGTTATGTAGGTCACAAGGTAAACAAGCATTCGTATTCTCTATTCATACTTAACATAGCAAGTACATAAGGTAATATTATATTACACTATTACTAAGACAGCAATATCACTTTTTATGTAAAAAGACACGAATTATGAAAAACATTTTGTTTAAAAAGTTGATCTCATGAAAATAATGAACCAACTTCGACACATTTTTAAAAGTAACTTTAAAATGTAGTGTGGACAGAAAAATAGGAACACCTACTGCAGGTTACAAAATACTTAATACTTTGAACGCAAACTACTGCTGTATTATTGTTACCAAAATCGCATGGTATATTGTTGCTAGTAGGAAATAAATATTGTTATGATTACGAACAAAACCAGGGAAGTCACTCTGCTGTACTTATAGTAAATAGTTAATAAACTGCCTTTACATCGTCATTGAGTTGATTACTGTAATTGGTGGTGTTGAATTTGAATTCAATGATATTAAACCTATTATAATTGTTTGCAAAAAAACTATTCTGGCTCTTCGTTGTGATAGATTCTATTTCTAAGAACATTTAATTTATGTATACTATTAATAATTTATTTTTCTATTGTTGTTACATTATTTTGAACTATTTTTTTCCAAAAACATCTAATAGGATATATAACAGTTATTATAACATTATACATTTATATCATATTTTTGTTATTAAGTGTAGCCCAATGTTTTGAATTAACCGTCCTTGGCATTAATAGCTTCAAATTATTAGTCTAAATATTTTTTACATATTATTATGTATAGATATAAGAAAATTAATAATATGTAATAAATTCTGATAAGTCTCAAATCACTATGATTAATATTTTTTGAATTACATAATATTCAATACAATTTTTATTGAAAAAAATCGCTATATTCGTTTAAATATCAAATAACGTTAAGGTTAAAACTTCAATGTAAATGACTGCAAAACTAATAATTGTGTCAATAGTATTTTTTAATATTTTTAGAATAGTCAAGAACAACTAATTAATGAAAAAAAATTGTATTAAATTTTGAAGTCTAAACTATTAGAATTGAAAATTGAAGCACTTCAAGTATTTAACACTCCAAAAAGTATAACGAGTAACGACAGACCCAAAATAAAATTAACTTTATTGTACAAGTAACACATTTATCGGAACTTCAGAATCTAATACATATTATATTTTAAAAAGTATTGAAAGATCATTGTATAAATGTAACAATATAACAATTAGATTGATGTTTATTTTGTATGAATACAGTTTTTGTTTTACTGTCACACATTCAAAAAATGGACAATCCAACAAACACTAATTGTATGTTAAAGAATCAAAAAAATTTCAAGTTTTGTATATTTTAGAATGTAGGTTTGGCTATTGGAAAAGTGCAATATGAATACATTTAATTATATCTTTGAATTAAACTGAACTACTATTTAAATTAAAATTAAAATGTTGACCCAGATCTGACTAGATGTTTAAGTTCACCAACGTTACTTGAATTATAAAATTGTTATGTATATAATATGTATAATGAGATGATAAAAAAATATAATACTTACTCAGCTTCTTCAACTGAATCTGTTTTGGCTAGGAAGACACAATTGAGCAATATAGTGGTCATAACCACATAGTCGAATATTTGATTAGTAGAAATGTATATGCACAGTTGCCGAAATGAGTTCCAAGGAGAAAACATAAAGAAAGACTTTGTGGCTGTGAAGCGGTGTATATAATTCTTCCGAAATCTTTTGGATACCACGCAAAACGTCTAGAAAAATAAAACATAATAATGAAACAATAATTTATACACAATACACATACAATTATTATTGCAGAAACAACATAAAATTCATATTTTATATTGGTATTATTGTATTTATTACGGTAGATAACTTCGCTGAACGGTGGGGTACTTTCCGTGTGCATATCACGAGAGAAGATTTAATGTTTATACCAAAAAACACCCTAACCAAATAATAAATAATACAAACTACAAAATACTAAATGGAGATTTACTCATTTGTTATTGTTACCAAATACCAAACATTACATTGGTACAAACTGAATATTAATCATACATCATATGTTATCAAACAATGAACATTATATTTTGAACATTGTTACGCAACTATTTTAAATTCCACGTTCGAAATAATTATCACACTGATTATATCGTTATAATTAATGTATTTCAGCTGTATAAATTAAACTTGGAATCGTAATAGGCTCGTTGAAGTGCTTATAATATAGTTTTATCTTATGTTCACTATAGTCGCGAGTCGTGACTCGTGATTCAAATATAAAAATTATAATTTATAATTTTATATTTTATAATAAAATAATGAAATGTAAAACGATCTGTTAGCATCTACTCAATTGTTAACTGTAACTCCGAAAGCTGTTCAATATTCTTCTCAGGCAGTATTTAGAAATGATAATGTTTCGGGAATATTTTGGAAATATTTTAAGAATATAATCGTTAATAAAAGATTTTTATACATTTTCTAGAACATTCTGGATTTCAAATGTTATCAGCCTAAGGTCTAACTAGTGCAACGTGGTCGAGGGAACTTTTTTACGATATTAGTTACCCAGAGAAATTTTTCTATTTCTTGTAAATAAGTTTCCGTACATGGAGTTCAGATCACTGTGTATGACATATTTATCAATAATAAGAAATGTTTGGTTTATAAATCTATAGTAATTATTATATTTAAAATAGTTCTTTACTGTCTTGGAAGATGGCTGTAAAAAAGTTTATCGGTGAGTTCCCTCGTGTTGATGGTTATTGTCGAACAAACTGCCGTGTGTCATTTTAATAATAATGAATAATTTGGAGGGTCGAAAACTGTTGAGTGTGTATCTTTTGTATTGTTTAATTCTTTAGTGTGTGTATTTAGTCTATATAATATATATATATATATATAATATAACATATGTTACTTTACCCCCTTCTATTTTTTTCATTTTTAAGTATTAACGATCATCTTGAAAATGTAATACAAAATATAATATACATACATACATAATATAACACATAATACAATTTTTAGTAAATACAGGGACAAGGAAGAACACCCGTGTATTGTACATAGTTTTACAGAATAATAAATTGTTTGACTGTTTGACAATATTGATGTATATATAAAATAAAACTATTTTAGACACATATTATTTATATAGTTTTAAATAATTATTTTTGATTAACATAAATTCAAGTATAGCTCCTTTTTTTAAAATTGATATCGAAATTGCACTAGACTTTGGATAGGTACTCCTATACCCTTAAATAGTATAGAATGAAGTATATATATTATAATGTATATCTAACAGCTGACATCAAGAAAAATGGAAAATCTCTATGCTGAGGGTTTTTGGATGGTATCATTATCTTAAGTATATTATGATACATACTCGAAGGTGGATTCGAGATGAATTCGATTGATGAGGTCAAATAAGCGATAGATTGAGTAAAACTGCAGTGATTTAGTTATCTCAAACAGCCGTATATAGTGAATGTATGTAAAACAACAAGGAGCGGTTTACACAATAAAAAGCACCTGGTATCAAACTGCCAATGTATATACATAAGATGCATATGAGTTTACTCAAATGTACCGGGATATTCTTGGTTGATTTGTCTCATTTGTAAACAGATTATTTTAATAAACCTACACCAAAGTAGAAATTATAAATCAAACAAAATAAATATGACATCAAATTAAAATTAATCTATACGAATAATAAAAAATAAGTGTACAACACTGCAGGGTCATACATTTTTTAAAATTTGAGTGAGGGTCTCTAAATATTTATGTCATCCTCAGGCCATTTGTTGTCACTATAATTAGTTATCCAAGTACCACAAGCACAAGGGGGTTAGTGTGAAAGAAACGTTCTTTAATTCCTGTTTAACCCTAATTTGTCCCAATTCGTCATACGCGCTAGTTGAGTTTACGATTATCCAGTGACATTTCATCATTATTTATCATATACAGCAGTGACATATAAACCTATAGGTACATATAAAAAATACATTAATGGGATTATAAAAATAATTTATATTAGCCTTATATATTAGATTCGTCTAACTGACTAAAACTTACTAAAACTATAATTACATTGATTAATATTATAATTTATTAATATTTTGGTATTAAATAAACCATCGAGCATCAAAATGTAAGTTTATAATATTGTACACCAGAACAAAGTACGCACTTATCTTAAATGTATATATGCCATATGTATATATATTAACCTGTCGATATTTTGATTGTCAACGTTTCAACCGGATCCCATGCCATATGGGTAAGTACTCGACAAAATAAATGTTAAAGCTTCTAAAAAACTGATTCGTTTTTAAATTTGTAAAATTGTTATGAAACATACATGAAACCTTACATGTAAGTATACGATCAATATTTTATTTTAGGCAATTCAATGTAATAGTTTTATTTTATTTTATTTTAAAAGAAAAAATGATCAAAATTGATTAATTTACAAACTATAAATCGTCATAAATTACAATAAAATTTAGTAGGTACCTACCAAAAGCGTCTTAAATACTTTACCGCCTGTGGCTATAATATAATTTACGTTCTCCTAACTTTTAATGTAGCCCACCCGACGTTTCAATATACATTTAGTATTACGTAAGTATTAAATGTTCAAACTTTAATACAACTAATTAAGAATATAAAAAATATAAATGACAGTATATTGGATCACTGCAGCAGTTGTTATTGAATATTAAAATAATGATAAATGTTAACATACAAAAATTGATTTTGAACATGAATAGGATTACATTCAAAATTGATAAACATTTTGTTAAAACAGTTGATTCTTTGAATTTCAAGTTAATTTCGAAAATCACCGAGCACTTCTTAAAGTAATAACGAAAGTACCAACTTTATAGATACAGGCATTATTTTTTTTCAAAATTGCCCCAAAATGTTTGATCAAAAAAATAAGGTGTGAAAAATAAGTAATACTGCAAAACAAAAACCGCCTTTATTCCAATCAGAATCGAGAATAAATAAATAATATGTAAAAGTTAGTTATTGTTCTTGAGGAGACCGTTCCAAGACCGTTCCGAATCAATAAATAAAAAGAATACAAAAATATATTAGTTCAGCATTTACTTTACTCGACCATCGAAGAATGTATTGACGACTAAGGCATCGGTGGTCAGCCAACTGTTCTAAGTCCAAGTCATAAAAATAAATAATTTTAATAATAATGACACGTTAATGCACCACCAGAACATGTGCGCAATTTCAATTTTTCATACATCACTAAATTATAGTAAGTACACATTTACTTCTCTTCTTGGAGACAATTGTACATATCATGGGAGTAATATCAACGTTATTACTTCTGTATAAGTATAAGCCTGTTCCTGAGATTAATTATAAAAATACTTTTGTTGGTTTATTTTGTTTTATCGACACCCAATCAGGTCTTATTATTATACCCAAATTGTGTCCATAAGTTTTTTTTCTATATGTAGTTAACCTAAAATAATTAAATACATTTTTTAATGTAAAAACACTGACTGTGTATTATGTATTGGCGTTGTAATTTGTATGACTGATAAACTGACAACTTCAAAACATAACTTTGAATTTATGATAGGTCAAGATAATATTCAAAACTTCAATACATTTTAAATGTGTATGATTTTCATATTAAGTTATTTTATTTGGTAAACTATTAATAGTTTATAGCCAACAATATCACTTAACGTTTCTACTGACGTAGAACAGACAGTAATAGAGAAACAAATAATGTCACAACAGACATAACACCATATAATATTTTCATATAATATTTTTTTATTATTTTGTTATTAACTTGTACCTGCCTATGTATAAGTATCATGCCAGGACCCAGATACAATTACTTTAATATATATTAGTGAAAATAGTTATTATTAATTATTTTAATATTTCATTCCTAACTGACAAGGTATAATAAATTACACGTTACAAAATAATTTAATTTAATTAGTAAAGCAAATTGGACAGTTAACAAAAGTTGTGCTTTCATTTTCAATTCACGAACCATTGTAATTTAAAAACGATTCCAAGTAGTGCTCATTTGTAGATGAATAAATTTAATTTTTTTAAATGCTTCAAAAGTATAAAAAAAACACTAAACTAAATTATGATTTTAAAATATTTTAAGAGACATATATAATATAGGTAATTTGACCATAAAAAAATATTATTTCAGTTACACGATTTGGTCGTAATTAAAAAAAAAATGTAATGTCGCAAATACATCTTACTGCATCTAACGTTTTATTATTTTTAGTTGATGAATAATTAAAATACAATAGACATAATAATTCATGTTTCACACCAACATTTTTAAAACTCATCTTTAAAATTCCCATTATAATATATTATACTTTGGTACATGCATGTATGTAAGTACTACATATATATTTAGTATTTATATAATAATATACTAAGCACGACTTTTCAGTCCCTAAAACCACAACTTCATTTCGGTTCTAGTGAAAAGGAAATTATACCATATACGTAACTATCATTTTATTAAATCATATTTTATAGTTAATTCAACTGTTTATTTCGTCGTTCTTTGTGAATTTATAAAATAAGCAACAATTACAGAATTCGTAATAAAATGAAAAACTAATAGATAGGCACTCGATAATGATATAGCCATATAGCTCATATAGGTACATATTACATTGCAACCAATCAATCATTATATACATTAAGTGCACTGTTTTTTTCCATACT